ACAGCCACCCTCCTCCCTCCCTGACCGTAAAAACAAACGAGCTCTTTTTTTAATACCGGTGTTATCCTTCGTCTCCACAACAGCCAGCCGAGAGTGGAGCGAGCTTTCACTCAACAATCTCGGGCGAAATTGATGGCTTGGCGTCGGTGGATAGATAGCCGCAGAGCTTCATCTTGAATTGACCGCCTTGGACCAGGCTTTTGACAATGTCAAATTGACATGCAGAGACGCTCTCCTCGCACAAGGCTACGACGCCATTGGCCCATCTGGTTTCACTCCATGTCACTCGTTCGCTATAATAAACAGGACTTTTGTATCTCTCCGGCACAAGACAAGAGATGGACGTCATGTTACCAGCCACCAGCCGCTGTGCGAAAAGAGGCGCCAGTCTCCTTTGCTCGGTCAAAGACACCGAGCGGGAAGTGCACTCGAGTGACAGCTCGACGTACCCGGCGCTGCAAGCTGTTTGTCGGAGGAACTGGACATTGCGCGCAGGCAGGCAGACGCTGGTCATCGCCCCTGTCTACTCAAAGACGGGAACACGAGCCGGCATTGCTTGTATTCCCCCAGCACCTGGCACGGCCAGGAAACAAACTGTACAGGCAGTTATCTCTAGCTAGTTAGTAGGCATTAATGAAGCGGACGCGTGGGTCGCGCTCCCGGTCGTCGCTGTTCGTGTTGGCCTTGCTGCTGGTGACGAACGTGGCCGCGCAGATTGCAACGGTCGCGCCGGCAGACGTAACAGATCCAGGAGTTGACTCAAATACAGACGCACCGCCGGCGACGGTGATTCCAGCAGGGGAAAGCGGCGATGACACGAGTACAGCATCCTCAGAAGCTAATATGCCGACACATACAGCAACGACGCCCCCACCAGTGACAGAAGTTCCGGCATCTACGACCACCACGCCTACTATCGCGGGCCCAGCGGCGGAGACGCCATACCCAGCAACGGACGTGCCGACAACAGTTCCAGAGCCTACGGAAGCACCTACCGCTGCACCTACTCCAGCACCAGAGCCGACCGAGGCACCTACTCCTGCTCCAGTGCCGACGGAGGCGCCAACCGCCGCACCTACTCCATCCCCAGAGCCGACCGAGGCACCCACTCCAGCCCCAGTGCCGACGGAAGCGCCTACCGCCGCACCTACTCCAACCCCAGTGCCGACGGAGGCGCCTACCGCCGCACCTACTCCAGTCCCAGAGCCGACCGAGGCACCTACTCCAGTCCCAGTGCCGACGGAGGCGCCTACCGCCGCACCTACTCCAGCTCCAGTGCCGACGGAGGCGCCTACCACTGCACCTACTCCAGCCCCAGTGGTAGATTCCACCTCGGCGACTGTATCTCCACCCCCTACCGAGCCGCCAACAACACCGCCGGTGCCAACCGAGGTTCCTACACCGGCACCATTGCCAACGGAGGCTCCTACACCAGCTCCTATTCCAACAGAGGCCCCTACACCGGCGCCTGTGCCAACCGAAGCTCCTACACCGGGGCCTGTGCCAACAGAGACGCCAACAGAGGCTCCTACACCGATACCAGTACCCACGGAGGCACCGGCACCACCCTCGCCAGCAAGTGAAGCCCCAACGGCAGCTCCAGCCCCAGCTGAGCCTCCTACAACTGCTCCAGCGGCTACTGAGGCTCCACCAGCGACACCAGCTCCTCCGACGGCACAGTTACCGGAAACTCCAGCGCCAACACCTACTACTCAAGCTCCAACAGCCACCTCTCCGACCCCGACGACGGCTACTCCTGAAGCGACAACCACTAGCTCTCCGTCACCTGCAAGTCCTGAGCCCGCTGACGCATCATCTACCGGCGATTCGAATTCCGCAACAGGATCGGCGGAGTCAGCAGCGTCTTCACCGTCCGACCAGTCCTCAGATGAAACTCAGTCGTCAGGTGACGGTGGTGCCGATCCGACGGATCAAGAGTCTCCCAGCGACAGTGTAGGAAAATCTGGCGGTCTTACATTGACCCCAATTATGCCGGACGAGAGTGGCCCAGCTACCGACACCGGCACCGACACCGACACCGACGACGACACTACAGACAAAAATAAAGATTCTGAACCGACAAATGCCTCGACATCCTCCGGACAGTCCGAGTCTTTCGGTGGCTGGAAGCTTGCGTTGGTCATCGTTGGTGCTGTGTGCGCGGTTCTGGCCTCCGTCTTCTTCGTGCACATGCGGCACGTCCACGTTGCGGCAGCGAACAAGCGCGACCGTGGCAGTTCGCAGCAGCGCGCGCTGGATTCGTTCTTCCGGCAGAACCGGGTGACTGTGGCGCGCGAGACCGGCGTATTGTCCGGCAACTTCGCTACGGACCCGCTCACCCCGCGCGACGAAATCGCCGTCACGATGCCGTCTAACCACGAGCGGCCTCGTACCAGAACGGCCGAGCTCATTGCTGGATCGGCCGCGATGGCGTTCAACAGACGACCTCGACCAGATTCAAGCGCGAGTATCGAGACGCCGACGGACTTCCGCAGCGACGAATACGATTCGTTCATAGGCGAGCACAAAATGCCGTCTGTGGTGTCTACAGGCTCGTCGAACCTGTATCGCTCCGACTCTTCCAACATCTACCAGTCGGACTCGATGTTCTCCGACACCAGCTCGGTATCGCTCGGCAGCATCGCGCCGTCCGTGTCGTCCAGTCAGCGGTCCATACAAACGCCAATGTACCAGACACGACTCGATTCAGTGGCGTCTTCAACCGTTCGGAACTCCAAACGCGCGTCGTCCGCGACGTCGATCGGAGAAGGCCGAGACACGAACCGGTCAGACCGATCCAGTAGCGACTTCTCGGTATTCAACTCGTCGCCCGTGGCGTCATCGGACGGCGACGTTTACCGTATCAGTACAGAGCTTATCGACGTGTCGGCGTTGCCGGCAACTACCTCGGAAAAGTCCGAACCCGGCAACAGCTATCCGAGTAATGGTCGGATGAGCGAGGCGTTAAGCGAGCTCAGCGTGGACGAGAGCTACACGTCCGAACTCACAGGCACTGAGAGCTTCTCCACCGATTTTAGTATCGACGATGGCTTCCGAACCGACGACAGCTTCGCCACTGTAGACAGTTTTGCCACCCGGACAACACAAGACACGGAAGACGACCGGGACTCGGACTCGATAGTGTTCCGGAACTCGAAAGGTTCGGAACTGAGCGAGGGCGAGATTTAGAAATAGCAACTCGAACTGTCTTTTAGAAGTGAGTCAAATGTAATGTCGTCTGTAATCTAAAAAATAAGAAGAGCTACAGATATAAGAAGAAAACGTCTTTTCCTTCTTGTCTAACTTCTCAAGCCTCAGAGAGGGCCGCCAACACGCGGTCGCGGGTCTTGAGTCCCTTGACGCCGAGTTCTCGCTCGTCCTTGATGCTCAGCAGGTAGTTGTCCAGTCCACCGATCTTGTCCACGCAGCGCAGCGTGTGCGTCGTCACATTGAGCCCCACCTTCTCGTCCAGCGCCTCCGAGTACAGACTCTTCCACTGGTGGTTGACCTTCCACGCGCGGCGCGTGCGGCGCTTGGAGAACGACACGTTGTTGCCGAACGCCTTGTCACGACCCGCGAACAGACCGCGCTGGGCCCGGCCAGACACGTGCTGGCACTTGGCCGCGCGTGTGAAAGCCTCGAGGAATCGCATCGAGCTGGACGCCATGGCTGCTTGAGTGGTGTGCGGTGGTGATGCACGCTTGGAAACGTGATATTGGAAACGAAATCGGGTTTAACAGGGACCGTTTGTCCGTGTGAGCCACATGAATGTTTTTTTAAATATTTTGACAGAATCGGATATTGTGATATTTTCAACTTGAGTTACTATTGTAAGATACAATGAGATAAAAGGTGTATTTGTCCATGTACATGTAGGAGCATTTGCTTGCTGAGTCCCTAGAAGTATGTTCCAATTAGCATCGCTTTTCGAAGATGCTTTTACGTGCTTCGACAGTGATAAAGTTACACCGTGTCGACCCGTGAGATGCTCTGAAGAAGTTAACAACACTGGCGTTGCGGTGCTTTTGGTCGCTCTGACTAGCGAGGTCGCTGAGAAGGTGCCGTACTGTTGAGCCTGGGCATACTGGCCGTAGCGGTCTCGGGGCTGCGTATGATAGTCACTGCTACCACGCACGTAAAGAAGGACTGTATTGCTGCTGGTGGTAATTGCCAGTAGGATTATTGGCGGGATCGAGATGCCGAGATGCTGTTAGCTCTGGTTGTCGAGATCTGGTCACCCCGTGTCGCCGATGTTTGGGGACCTGACCTTGTTTTAGGGGGCGAGCTACTGACGTGGTTGGAGCTGGCATTGGGGCTGGCCATGCTTGGTCTGGTTGAGTTTGCTCAATATTCACTTGCCTCGGTAGTCCGATTTTTTCATCAATCCTGTGCACTGGCCCCGCGTAGGAAACTCTGGCTACATGTACGAAATCGAGCAAATGCTGATCGCTTTTGAGATGCATACATGAGGCTAAAATGGTAACTCACATGTGCATGTACCTTTGTGTGTGATCATTTTGCCAATGTTGATGTTTTCTCCGATACATGTATATTTTTTTGGATTGCATACATGCCCACGATGTCGCTCTACGACAATCTTATTTGTAAGAAAAGTGAGTATTTTGCAAACCGACTTTACTATTATACCGTACCCCCCCCTCCCCAACATGCATATACATGTAATGGACTTAGCCGTTGAAATACGATTTTTAATAAAAGATCCATCAAAACGAGGATACAGTATCACTGGCCATTTCAGAGTTCTGCAAAATGCGGAGAGGCATGACTCGTGCTCTCCGCATTTTGCCGCATGGCTATTATAATTAGGTTCGAAGGTCGCACAAGAGTTTTGTAAGCATTCATTTTTGGGATGTGTTTTACAGTGGTGCGAGATGGTTATCAGCGAAATCGCAGTGATAATCTAAAAGTGCTCTTAAGTAAGAAAGGAGAAGAATTAAAAGCATGCACGAAGGTACCTACTTCGCATTATTTTCTCGCTCGTACTGATTGGAACCTTGTGCTATATGAAGCTCCCTTGCGAACTCACTCGGGGTGATTCTCCGCTAATAAACGGAGCAACGCCTGCAACAATTGCATTCCAAAAGCAGATAGATTAGCTCGCTGGGCCAACAGCGTATCTAGCAGACTTCTACTGTAAGCTTAGTGTAATAACCTCGGGGTACAATCCAGTACTTTTTTACTGAATTAAGGTAGTTCCTCGACATCCGTAAACAATTTACAGTATTCGTGCCAGGTGACATTCAGCAATTCTCTCCAAGTTGCGAGCTGTAGATAGTTTTAAATGGATCACCTGCGGATCACTCCAAAAGAGGACCAGCTCGAGCATTTTCAGCCCCAAATCCCTGCAATAGAATAGCAATTTCCAGTCCGTGCGTTGGGTCCGTTTGTTGGTGAGCTCTTGCCTCCGCGACCCTATTGGAACTCCGTTCCGTTTGGCAGCACTCTGGACTTGTGAAAGTAAAATGAAGACTGAATTATTTAAGTGCTAGCTCACGCTCCTCCAATGTGAAATTCGCAGGCACGTAATTCGCGATAGGTCCGAACTTTCATGCGCTTCTTTGCTTTCTAAACCCCCTTAAAAAATTAAGTAAAAATAGTTTTTTTGTTCCAATTCAAAGCGAACACCGATAAACGGACTTTTAAATCAGCATAGACTCTCACATCATTTCACACTTTCCCCACTCATCCTCATCGATGCACAACGAATCTGGTCATTATAGTCCGTGCATACGGCAGGCTGTCGCAATCATGTCTGTGTTTACAACTTAGTTTACGGTGTGACTTACAGTTTCACTCGCCAGTGTTCGTTTTCCCAACAGCTATTTATATCTTACAAATTGTGGTGTCATTACATTGTTGCGCTGGCTGCTGTCGTTTTCTTTACGGGTGGAACTGCTGTGTTCTTGAAGCGCGCGTTGCGAACCCACACAAAGGCGACAGCCGCTGACGAGGAGAGAGCTTACAGTCCGAGCCTCAGTGTTTCCGAGAACCTCAGGAGCTGGATGCATACTATAGAGCACTTCCGAGACTCTTTCCTGACGATGAGATTACGGTGCTGGCCAGTAAGGCGCTGGCAAAGGACACCTCGTCCTCGGACGTCGTCTTCAAGTTGCTTTAGCTTGACAAGGGATTGAGTGGAATTCTGAGCAATCCCAACCTGAAACCATTCGAATACTTTCTTAAGCTGACGGATGGAGCGCCGAGACAAGCTCTGATTAAGAAGTTGACAACTCAATACGGAGACGAAAAAGTGGCAATTTTTTTTTGATATCAAACACAAAGCCCACGGCGCGAACAAGAAACTCAAGTCGGCAATATCAGATCGCAAACATTGAACCAGCATTAAACATGAATTTCATACCAGTATCTTATTTTATAGCTTAAGGCAGAGGATCCGCATGTTTGGGCTCGGCGTGATGATAGGTGCTTTCGCAGCTTTACTTCTTGGACGGGCTCGGCCACTCACTCCCATTCTACTCTTCTGATCTGTGTCGGTTGCACCATTGCTAACCCTCGTGCAACGTTGTCAACAATCGGACTGAGTATTACTAGCCGAGTGCCGCCGCTACGCGGCGGGAAAGAATGAATGTCGTTCCTTGTATTTTGCCTCCGTTCCGCTCGCCACGGGCTCGCTTCACTACTCGCACGGTAGGTTGGCAGATTTGGCTCAGGCGGGCCCAAAGGCCCGCAGGGTTGCAGAAGGTGCCGATTTGGGCCGCCTCGCTGCGCTCGGCAGCTTTTAGGCCAATCGGGGCCACCTTCGCTGCGCTCGGCAGCCAGTAGGAATATTTAAATTATTTTATCCAATGATTTGTCCGGAAAAGCGTGACAGGCACGACAATTTAGTGTGACGGACAGACAGGTTGCTGCAGTAGATGTTTAAGATAGTACTACTAGCGCTCTGGGCGCCCGCTCCGCGGACGCTAGGGCATGGTTGGTTGGTGTAGTGCGGGCTGACCACCTTCGCTGCGCTGCGGTGTGCTTCGCGTTTCTACGTGCAGCAAAGCAACATATAGTACATGTATACTGTGTTCTACTTGTATTACGCTCCAAAACAACACCGCACACAGTATATTTAGTGCTCACATGTTATGATAGATATGACCAGGGTTTAACGTGATCTGCAAGATGAGCACCCTCTTACCCGTGAAGGTTTTTTTTGTCTATAATCGCATTTGAGCGCATAGCCCCCAAAATGACACGAATCGGAGGCGCGCGTGGTTGCAAAGCTAATATATGCTGTACGGAAGACGGGTCAGTATCAATGATGCTACGAAATATACGTTGATCGGTGAGGAATCCCAGTGTAGCTAGAGTAAATACGCCTACTCACACATATTACCCATCTGCACGTCATCGCCGTGAGGCAGTCGACACATATCATCGATTGCGACGGTCGAATAGAGCAATGTTAATCAGCTCCGCGCGCGAAGTATCTTTTAGGATAGGTAGTATTTGCCGATGGTCGCCACAAACATCAATATTATGCTTTAAATTTATTCTGCTGAGCTGTTTGTGATGTAACTGAAGGGTATTTCCACTATCTTCCGCATGCATTTATCTTACTTGCATAGCTGACGTACTTTCTGACTTATTTGTATAGCTTCTGACTGACAGAGTGGCGTAAATCCTTTCCGACTGACATTATACTGGGTCCGATATGTACGACAAAAGGCCTCGTCCACATCGGATGAAGAGGCACCACTGCGTGCACATTCTTTTGACCGGCTGCAGCATACGAAGATATATGGCTGTAGGCAGAGTATCAGATCGTAGTGATGGTTAGACTTGAATTGAATAATAGTTCATGTACATTAGATGGAGTACTTTCGCTGCCTACTTATCAGCTCGGCGTGCTATTTGATGTGTCCGTGCATATCCCGCAATGCCGCCAATGGGTGTTGTCGTGATAGCCAACACCCATGCACTGGGTTACTGCTGTGATCTCGGTACTTTTGTATCGTCGTGCTAGCCTACTGTACCTACGATTATGATGTATCCGTCTATATGATTTAGCACGTCACTATTCGGGCACAGGTCATACCCGCGGTGATACAGGCAAGCTGATCAGGCGTCTGTTAGCAGTATTCAAAGCAATATATACGCGCGCGGCGGGTACACATTATAGCCATCCGTGACTCAACCGAGCTCTTATCTCGGCCATTATGGACAGGGCGCTAAAGTAAAGTACTGCGTACAGACACATCTCCTTGCGATGGCCGCTTGTTTGGTCATCACTGGTTGTGTCCATGTAGACAGCAGCTTATTTATCGCGCATAGTGCTCACTCAATACTGAAGCTTACATTCGTGAGCGCACATTAGTGAAATATAAACTGTGAGGGTTGGTGGTACATATAGCATGGGTTTGCGTGTGCCAAGTGAGCAAGTGTACTTTCCATCTACGGTAACGCGTATGCAGATAGGAACGGCCAGCTCGCAAGGGTACACAGTAGATACCATGCGCTAATTATTATATGAAACGCGCTACACTCCGTAGGTGCGTCAACACAATTGGCAGCACCACAGTTAGTTTACCATATGTGCGGCCCCAAGCCTCGCGCCGCCCGCCAGTATACAAAATACAAAGATAAGCGGGGTAACGGGGGCAATAAGGATATATTATCCAAATTACTTGCTCTTCTGCT